CGCGAACGGCCCGGGGACGGCAGAGCCGCTGCTCCCCGCGGGCCTCAGGCACCCCTGGAAAGCTCCCGCAGGAAGGCGGTGGTGAGCCAGAATAGCGCTTTCCAACCTGTCTGCGCCCTGGACAAGCTGCCCAGGGGCTCGGATAGACTCTTAGAAACGTTTCCCAAAGGGGAACTGGGCTACAGCTTGGACTTCTGCCCGGCAGCAAAACCCACCGCGCGGGAGCAGGACCCCCCCTACCTGGAGAAGAGGAGGACAAGCCTGACCCTCAGGGAAAGCACCCATGGCACCAGAGGGGCTCCCGAAGCCCCCCCAGCAGCTCCAGTCTTTACAGCTGACAGCCCGGTCTCCCACCAGCATTTAGGGAAGGGAGAGCCCTCCAAGGTCGAAGACACAGCCAAAGAGCTGGTTTCCTCTTCTCAGGTTGCATCTCCAGAGGGTAGGCTGAAAGACCTACAAAGTGGCGAGATTTCTCCTTCGTCCCCACCCATGCCAGTTATCAACAACGTCTTCAGCTTGGCGCCTTACCGAGACTATCTGGAAGGGTCCGAAGGCTCAGCCGAGGTTCCCTTCTCAAAGGACCATCCAAAGGTAGATACTCCGCTCCAAAACGTGGGGAACAGCTTGGGAAGCAAGGACTCTTTTAGGTCTCTGTCAGAGCCAGCTGCGGTCAAAGATATCTCGGAGATGTCCGGTGCACTGCCTGCTCGGAAGGAGGCCAGCCAGGCGTTACAAGCAGGGGACAGCGTGGTTCACAGCTGCAAGTCGATGGCTGGCGAAGGGGGCGGCTGTTGCAAACGGGCCCCCAAGAGTCACAAACCAAGGCTTCTACCCCGTGACCGGGCGGCAACAAGTGATCCCGAACCTCAGGACGGCAGCCTGAGCGGCCCCGGCAGCGCAGAGGGCAGGGAGCCAGCCCCCGACGAGGTTGTGTTGGATCTTAGCTTGAAAAAGAGACTGGTGAAACCCGGAGAAACCCAAGGCCCTGCTGGCCACATGAAGGGGACATCTAAAGGAGAAGATGCAGCCGGAGAGAAAGAGGAGCCACCAAGGAAGCTGGAGACGGGAGAGGGAGCCAAGGCTCAGACATTGCCGTTGTTGATAGAGGTTGGGTCCAGGGACAAGAGCAATTTCCAGAGCTCAGCCACCTTCATGTTCAAAAAATACAAGATCTTGAAATCCCTCCCGCCTGGCGCCGTGCCCCCTCGCCAGGCTGCCAGACCTCAGGCCATGCAGCCCAGTCCACCGGCAGTGGCTCCATCTGACAGCGTCCCCGCGCCGCAAAGTCCGCATGTGTCACCGCAGCCCCGCAGCCCCCCCGTGCCACCTGCGCTCCACGCCAACCCCCAGCCCAGCACCTCCGTTCTTCAGGTGACTTGCCTGAACCTGAAGCTCCCTGACATTTCAAAGCCCCTGCTGCCCGGTGCGCCAGAAGCCCCCCGCGCGCCAGGAGAGGACAACGTCTCGCTGCCCAGCCACTGTGAATCCCCTGGCCAGCAGACCTCCGCCAGCCAGTACTTTACTGCCTTGCACGCCTCTCTCTGCAATGTTATTTCGTGTTCTGTGTCTGGGTCCTCCCCAGAGCTGCTCCGGGAGTGGCTGAAGAGGGCAGAGCCTGAGGAGGAGCTCAAAGAGATGCCCAAATCTCCTCCCAAACCCAAGAACGGTTCCAGGCTCTCTGAGTCCCAGAAGCCCACCAAAGGCAAGGAGATCTGGCTGGCTTTCAAGGATGTGGCTGCTCTCCTCAACAAGCTCCTGTCTCAGCTGGAGACCTTCATGTTCACTCGCAAGTGCCCCTTCCCCCATGTGGTTCGGGCAGGTGCCATCTTCATTCCCATCCATGTGGTGAAGGAGAAGCTCTTCCCCAAGCTCCCTGGGGCCTCTGTCGACCAAGTGTTGCAGGAGCATAAGGTGGAGTTGCGCCCGACCACCCTCTCGGAGGAGAAGCTTTTGAGGGACCTGGAGCTCAAGAGCTGCACTTCCCGCATGCTGAAGCTCCTGGCTCTGAAGCAGCTCCCCGACATCTACCCAGACCTGCTGAACCTCCACTGGCATGACTCTGTCAAGCAACAGCTTGGTAGGTAGCTCAGCTTCTCCCCAAGCCCTTCCCCACCCCTGAGATCTTGCTGCCACGGGGAGGCTACTGCCCCTCAGGAGGCAGCTACCCACTGCCAGAAACCGGCATTTCCCGTCTGGAGCTAACGACCAGAGACACTAAAAATAGCACTGATACTCTATGCAAGGAATTAGTAATGAAATAAATCCAGCACTTTGTTCTTCCTTCCCTGAGTTCTCTTCCCTGCTGCTTCTTGTTAGCTGACCAAGGTGAATTAGTCTGTAGACGTGTTTCCTTTCCGAGAGGTCCCGCTGCCACGGTCCCCGTCTGACTCACTCGGTGTCACAATCAGGTCTTTGTAACCCCTTTCTGCCTTTCTGTGGAAATGATTTGAACTTGCAGTTCCTGAATTGTGAAATTTCCTGGATGCATTAGGCCACCGGTGCCGCTGGCCTGGGCTGGAGCCTGCTGCTCTTGACATATTGCAGCCCTGACAGTGATGGAAGGCAAGGGAGGGCGATTTACCACAGAACAAAGATTTTGAGGGTTTTTTTGGTTGTTTCTTTTTTTCAACCAAGGCCGGCCTGCACATGGCAGGGACGCTGCAAAAACCAGCCCCCAAGGCTTTAGGTGATCTCCCAGGTGCCTACATCTCCTGAGGGCTTCCCTGACCTACCAGAAAGGGCACTGCCTGCTGTGACGGACAGAGCCCCGGCCGGGTGTCCCAGGGCAGGCGCTCCAAAACCACGAGACCTGCTAAATTTCTGGAAAATTAAATTTTGGAAAGCTGCCGTCTCGGTTGAGAGCGGATCCAGCCTGGAGGTAGTGGCAGCGGTTCCCAGGCATGCTTGCAGATTTCTCGCTGTACCTATTCCAGGAAAGCTCTGACTGCATCTGCCTCCCAGATGCTGGCAGACGGGGGGAGGTTGCATAACTTCTTGGCAGAGGAGCTTTTGTGGTCTTGCGCATTGGCAGCGGTAAAACTCATACCAGGAATTCGCAGCTCCCCTGAGCGGTGTCAGGAAACGCTTGCCGATGTGGAGGGGCCTTTGCTGCTGCGGGTCCATCCTGCACGGTGCAGCACGGTGCAGCTGGGGGAACCGGGCTCTCCTCCCCGGCCGCCTTCCCCAGGAGGCCACAGTCCTGAGCGCAACGTCTGGCTGGGGCTGTACCCAAGTCACAAACAAGTCCCTCCCGCTCAGCAGACACCGGACAGCCTGTCTCTGCCGAGGTGGCCATGGCCCCCGGATCTTCCTCATCTTCCTCCCGGTACTGGGCTCTTGGGCTGGGGAGCACCACGTGCTCCAGCTGATGGGCTGTGCCGAGTGGGAAGCGGCTGAGGGATCCCCCGCGCGCCCCAGGGCAGAACATTCAGCCTCTTCCCCTGGGTTGTGGGGGAAAAGCCTTGAGCTGGGCGTTGATGGGGGAGCCGGAGGAGCGCGGGGGCTGTGGAGGGGCTGCTGTTGGAGGCAGAAGTCCTAGCAGCAGCGGCTCAAGAAGTCCTGCAGCGCGGGAGGCTTGGGAAGCACGCTGGAGGCGCCACGACGTGCGCACGGGGTGCTGGAGCGAGGCCGACGGTCGCTCCCGAGCGTCTCATCTCAACGGCGTTAGCTCCGACCGCCCCTCTCTGTTCGCTCCTCGCCCTTCTCCTCTTTGCTGCTGCTCGAGATGACCACCAATAACTTTATTTCTTGCAGGTTCCAGTTCACAGGCTGGCCAGCATGCCTCCAAGTAGGTAACTGCTCTTTGTGCATGTTTATAAAGATGTATGTATATATGTATATATAAGCCGTGGCTGGGGGGAGGTTACGCTGGCGCGGGCGGGGGGCCCGAGCCTCAGAGAGCTTGTGGTGCTTTGGCAGGATCCAACCAGCTCCTCGTGCAGGGAGGCGGGGCCGGTCCC